CTTATTGAATGACTGAATGACTTACTGATGTGACTGACTGACTTGACTGACTTATGGACTTGACTGACTGAATGATTTAACTGACTGACTTGACTGACTGACTAGACTGACTGAATGACTTGACTGACTTACTGAGTGACTTAAAGTTAGACTTTGTCACTGAAGAGGACCCTGAAATGGTGTTTAGAGCAGCTGATGCCTTACCATCAGTTGTATAATGTACTGCAGGGTAAAATAGAACAGAAATACATTACAGAATTTATGCACACACACCATTGACTTCAGTACCAGAACCTCTACCATCCACCTCAGCCCAGTAAGGCCACAGCATAACTCTCCCCTCTCTTCACAATCATTGACGAACACCAGCACCCACAATTTAAGGTAAAAAATATTATTGTTTCTGTTGCAGTTATAGTCTTAAGCAGTAAAAACAACATAATACATCACAACAATAAGCAGTAAAAACAACATAATACATCACAACAATGAACAACAATTGTATATTCACTTTTATTTTTGTAAGATCTGGAGGTCTAAAAAAAGTTGTTTGAGGGGGAAGCTCCCATCCTGAATTTTTGCTTGTATCCAGAAACAAAAAGTCAACTGAGCGACTGCTCGTATCCTGAAAAACTCGTATGGTGGGGCACTCGTAAGCCGAGGTTCCACTGTACAATGCCTGCATTTTCAAGGAAGGGTTTGGGATATTGGCAGTTTGGAAGGACATCTAAACTGTTGTATCTGAGTGCCTCTACAAAGACAGTGATTATGTATGAGTGATGGTGAAAGTGTTGAATGGTAATGAAAGTTTTTTCTTTTATTTTGGGTTCCCCTGCCTCAGTGGGAAATGGCTGACGTGTTAAAAAAAAATGTACTGTACGCTGAGGTCAGCGGTCATACCTGCCTAAGCTCTTGGGAGTTAGCGTGGACTGTTACCAAGCACCATGGCTTGTTGTAGTGTTTTAGAATCTCAGGTTCAGGTGTTGAAGAAGGAGATTCTACTTCTTCAGGAGGAAAATAGGAGGCTGAAGCTACACATAGATGAATTTGGGAGTGAGTGTGAGAAGGATTTAGCTGGTAAGGAGGAAATGGTCACCAGAAGTGATAGTGGCAGCCGCTTTAAGTGCTAAGTGGTTCACAGTTCAGGAAGAAGGAAGATGAGGAGAGTTAATAGAGAAGATGTGAAGGTAGGAAATCAATTCTCTGTTCTCCAAGACGTGTGTGCTTCAGTGGTTAGTGAGGTTGAAGGTACCACTGATTCCCCTGCTAATCAAGGTAAGAATATTTTAATAGTAGGCAATTCTCAGGTAAGATATATGGACCATGCATTTTGTAACAGAGACAGAAAGGTCAGACAGAGAGTGTGCCTTCCTGGAGCTGGTGTTGGTGACATAGTCAGCAGGTTGGATAATATTATGGCAGGTAATGGGATAAGCCCATTATCTGTCTTATTGCTGGGGGTAATGACATTGGGAAGGGCAGGAGAGAGGAGCTGCTAGATAAGTACAGGTTAGCCATAGAAGTAGTTAGGTCTAAGGGAGGGATCCCAGTCATATGTAGCATCTTGCCTAGAAAGGGAGTGGGCAATGAATGGATGTCTAGGGCAATTGGTATAAATTGCTGGCTAGACAGGTACTGCAAGGAACTTGCAATCCCATTCATTGATAACTGGGACCTATTCTTTGGCAAACGTGATATGTATGCAAGGGATGGGGTTCATCTCTGGGGATGGAGTGGTTGCATTAGCCAATAGATTATAGAGGTATGGGTGTTTGTGGGAAACAATCAGGCTGCAGCATTAGGGTTAAAAACAGCAATTATTACTGGGATACCTCAGGGATATGTTTAAAAGACAGTATTCAAAATAAAGTTGCTAGTAAAGGGAAATCAATTGATCAACAAACAAAGAGAGATAGTAGAGGGCAACGAGTGACTAGCTCCCTTAAGGTTTGCTATACAAATAGTAGGAGTCTAAGAAATAAGATAGATGAACTAAGATTACTTGCAAGTGTAAGTAATTTAGATATTATTGATATAACAGAGACCTGGTTCAACCTGAAAGATAGAAAAATGCCTTCTGAATGCAACATACAGGGTTATAAACTATTCCACACCGATAGGGTCAACAGGAAGGGTGGTGGAGTGGTGATGTATGTCAGAGAAAATTTAAATTGTTGTCTTAGACATGATATAAGATTAGAAACATCGAACACAGAATCTGTTTGGCTACAGTTTCTCAAGGGACGTGGCAAAGTTTGGCTACAGTTTCTTGAGGGACGTGACAAATTAATTTTAGTTGTGATTTATAGGCCCCCAAACCTTGATAGGGAGTGCAGTAAGCTGTTATGGGATGAAATTCATAAGGCATCTAGATATGAAAATGTTGTGATAATGGGAGATTTTAACTTTAGACAAATTGATTGGAACAATATGACAGGAAATCTTGAGTCTAGTGACTTTCTTGATACGGTTCAGGATTGCTTTTTAGAACAGGTTGTGACAGAACCAACTAGAGGAAACAATCTGCTTGACTTGGTTCTTGCCAACAAAGATTCACTAATTAACCCCTTCAGGGTCCAAGGCCAAAATCTGAAGTGGTGCCCCAGTGTCCAAGAATTTAAAAAAAAAAAAATTTTTATTTTTTCTTATGAAATGGTAGAGAATGTTTTTATGAAGGTAATAAAACAAAAAGTACGAAATTTGATGGAAAATTGACGAAATTATGCTCTCGCGAATTTTGATGTGTCAGCGGTATTTACGAGTCGGTGATTTTGCCGACTTTGACTCCCATTTTAGGCCAATTACATTATTCCAGTCAACCAAATTCTTAGCTATTTCACTGGTATTACTTCTATTCTATCAATTGATCACAAGAAATCGCCAAGTCAACTGTTTCGACTACAAAATAAAGTGATCGGAAATTGGTAATTTGGTCAATTTAACACAAAGTTCAAAATATTCCAATTTCAAAATAGAGTCCAGAATAAGCAATATAGGTATTCCTGGCACTAAACTAACATTTCCTCTGTTCATTAGTTATGTTTTGAGGCTTTACAAATAAACTCCATTTTGATTTTTTATTCACATAATGAATTTTTATTCACACCAAAAAATAGAAGATTTACTGTTATGCAATATTGTAATAATTGTATAAATATCATCACCAAATTTGTGAATGTATATTAGACCCACCAGCTGGCGTGTATTACACGTGTGAGGTCGTTTGTTTACTCTTGAACATTGGCAAAAATTTAACATTTCTGCTACTTTGAGCTCAGTTTCAAGCCATTTCCAGTGCTAAAACCAATCAAAATCATCTCTTTTTCTGTAATATGTCTTCCATTCTATCAAATGAGACCAAGAAATGCAAATACAACCATAAAAATACATACGAAAAAACACTGCAAAGTTGCTGTTTTAATCGAAAATCATGGTCTCAGTTTTTTTCTCTCATTATACACAGTGTGCTGCAGGATTTGTTTAATGTGGTGCACACATGCCACATAGATGTATTCTCTCATATATAGGCCCAAATGTACCACTCACAGTTTATCAGAGTGAGCTGAACTCATGGCGTAGATCTATGGTTTGGACCCTGAACGTAAAGCCGTAGATCTACGGGACGGACCCTGAAAGGGTTAATAATCTTGAGGTTAATGATGAGCTTGGGGAAAGTGATCACAAATCACTTAATTTCAATATATCATGGAATTACCCAGATAACTGCAATCAAATCTCTGTCCCAGATTTTTGCTTGGCCGACTTCATGGTACTGAAAAATTACCTGGGTGGGCTAAATTGGGATGTCCTGACTATGGGTCAGGTAGGTGATCTTGGTTGCCAATATGACATTTTTCAGAGCATAGTTCTAGCTGCCCAGACAACTTTTGTTCCAAGTAGGGAAATTAGATCTAACAAAAATGATCCCAAATGGATGAACAATACGTTAAAACATCTCATTGGTCAAAAGAGAGGCATATATAGGCATATCAAAAGAGGGGATGGGCAGTTAAGAAATAAATATATTCAATTAAAGAGAGAAATGAAGAAAGGAATAAGAAAAGCAAAAAGGGATTATGAGGCTAAGGTCGCAAGGGATTCAAAGACTAACCCAAAAGGGTTCTTTCAGGTATACAGAAGTAAGATTAGGGACAAGATTGGCCCACTTAGAGTAACTCTGGTCAGATCACAGACAGTGATAAGGATATGTGTGAAATTCTCAATACCTACTTCCTCTCAGTTTTCACCCAGGAAAATACTGGTGATATTCCTGAAATAATAGATTATGTAGAACAGGATAATAAACTATGTACGATTGCGGTAACTAATGGCATGGTCCTCAGACAAATAGAGAAACTAAAACCTTACAAATCCCCAGGTCCTGATGAACTGTTTGCAAGGGTGTTAAAGGAATGTAAAGAGGAACTTAGCAAGAGACACCAACCAAGAATGACCGAATTACTGAGTAAATTTCAGTCACCATATTTAGCTGACAACAGAGCCATAACTGACACTTGGTTTGTCTAAATTTTTACTTTTGCAATAAGAGAGTGCTATTGGAAGAGCAACAGAGAAAGGCTGTAGAATTCGACTTAGAGTAGCAGTTCACCTTGCATGGCAAGTCACAAGAGGTAATTCAATTTAGGACTGCCTTAGTTTTAGTTGGTGAATTCTCTAGTATTTGTCATGGTTAAGAATGACACAGGTGTGTACTCATTTGAGAATTTATAAAATGGATGTTGCACTGAGGTGATTTCTTTTAATGAAGAGATGATTATTAATTCATGAAATGTGACACCCAACACCTGTTCATCATGCCCACTAGAGAAGTTTTTTAGAATTTTACTAATTATCCAGGGTTCTTTACTAATTCTTTTAGTAATAATTCAATGTTTTTCATATAGTAATCGGGATGTGTGTTGTTTTCCAAATACGAACCCTCACATTTTACCATATTGAACAGTATTTACCATTGTTAAAGTTTACTTTCATTGTTACAGATAGCCGAGGCTTCCCGAGAAAGAGCGCAGATCTTAAATCCAATGGTAGAAGTTGCCGCTGACACGAGCAATGTTAAAGATAAAGTTGATGAATACTTCACCCAGTTTGATGTTGTGTGTTTGTGTCGTTGTGGTCGGGAGCAGCTCACCAGAATCAACAATATATGCCGCCAGAATAAATTTTATTTTTTGCTGGCGATGTGTTTGGATTCTTTGGTTACACATTCACAGATTTACAAGAACACCAGTATGTTGAGTAAGTACATTTGCAAATGTTTCTCTGATTACTATGTGGTAAAGTGAAAATAGTGTATCATTGAAAAACATTCAAGAGGTTCCCTTTGTACAAATGAGCGTTCCTGTTTTTTCAACTTTTAAAAAAAGTAAATTGTGTATAAAAGAATACAGGTCTCCCTCCACATTCGCGAGGGTTATGGGAACAGGAACCTTGCGAATGTTGAAAAATTGCGAATTTTTGGTGCACAAATATATTGTAGGGAAATATAATAATAGCATTTACTTAGCCTAACAATACTGCTTCTTTAACCTATTGAACCATGAACAATCATAAAACACATGAAAACATCATAAAATATTGTACTAGTGCCAGCCCTTTGGTAAAGAAGGTGAGAAAGACTACAGAATTCAAGAAAGAACTCGTAGCAGAGTACCAAAGTGGAGGAGGAAGAGAGAGGGGAGAATGTGCCTTCAGTGATTCAGTGGTTCTACTATATGTATGATACTAAAGCAGCATGAGTCGATAAAGGCTATAGCACTAGCCAGCGATAAAGTGTAGAATTAACAGTAGCAAGTAAGTTAAGCGATTAATTGATAGAATAAGGACAGCACGAACCTAACTCCTCCAATGTTGACCTGCCTCACATGGGCCAGTTGGCCTGTTGCAATGTTCCTTCTTTCTTATGTTCTTATGTTGTTGGAGTTATATAGGGCGACTGACAACACCGCCATCTCTACCGCCTCTGCTGTCACCTCTGCTGCTGCCACCTCCACCACCACTATGTACGGCTTATGCTCTCAGTGGCCCTTTTATACCCAACAGCAACAACACAGCAACACTCTTGACATACTTAATGACATATTTTATTCATTCTAGAGTATATGTCATGTTTCTATGTTATTAATATTGTTTATGTCATATTAGATGAATTTTGATAGATAAATAAGCCATAGAGTTGATATTAGTGTCATATAGTGTCATATTGTCATATCTCCAAACAAACTGCCACTGCCACAATTCCTATCATATGTAATGACATATTTTAAATATGATTGGGCGGCTGGGAATTCGCGAATGTTAGAAGCCTGTGAAAGTGAAACTCACAAATGTGGAAGGAGACCTGTTGTACAGTATAAAGAATAGTGGTTTCCCACATGTTCATACTGTGGCTTGGTGGTTGTAAAAGTATAACTAATTCTTTACATAAATAACCTGCACATAGAAGAGAGGAGCTTACGACAACATTTTGGTCCAACTTGGACCATTTACAAAGTCACACTAATGAAAAGGAGAGCAGGATGGGTATATATAGGTAGGAGGTGGTGGCGGTAGTAGTAGTAGTGGTAGTAGTGAAGGTGGAAGGAAGTAGTAGTAGGGAGGTAGTAAGAGTAGGAGGGGCCAGTCAAATACTAAGAAAGAGGAGCACTGTAAGGGAGCTAGGTGCCTACAGAGGGTAAGAGCAAGAACACCGAGGGGGGGGAATGTCCAAGTTGGACCGAAACGTCGTCGTAAGCTCCTCTCTTCTATGTGCTGGTTATTTGTGTATTGTTCCAGTCACGGTATTGTGCTTTTTTTGTTAACTAATTCTTGACTCTGTAAGTGTGGATATTTGTTTTTGTATGTTCTGTATGGCCAGGCTTAGAGAGTAGATAAACACTTGAAACTCTTCTACGGTATCCAGAATGTGAATGTGTGTAATAGTTTCACTTGTATTTTAGACCATGTTAGGCATGTCTTGAGTCATTAACCTGTGTAAATGCTGTTGAAAACTTTTATAAATATTTTTTCAGAGATGTGAGAGAAAAGAAGGAAGTGGAGCAGGAGGGCAAAAAACAGACCATAGAAGAGACTAAAATGGTTAAACGTACAGAATCATTTATCCCTCTTTGTCAAGCATTAGATGCAGATTGGACTTCAAATAAGTATGCTTCTCAGCTAAGAAAAATATCTCCAGCTTACTTCATAATGCATAGTAAATATATTTCTATGTACTGTACTGTATTGTATTAATTTGATTGCTGGAAGAGCTTGCAGATGAGACAGTTGAGCTGATAGCTTTTGTACATGTTCCATAACCTATGCTAATCCATTCCGTAATTATGTTCCTTAAGTATTTTTTACATTTATGCTTATTCTCTGGACTGATTTTTTTTTTTTGTTTATTAGTCCAATCTGCCTTTACATCTTCCCAACATTAGCATGCTTATTTTGCAACTCTTTCTGTTAACATGTTGAGCAACTACAGTGATATCATACAGTTCTGTCAGTTGTCACCTTTTACAGAAAAATGCTTCTCTTATCTTTGTTAGTCTTCATCAGGAGCATGTTACCTAATATCTGTATCTGGGGAAGGTCAAATTCCATACTTGCCATGAACAGCCCCTTACCCTTATTAATACTGTATTGCTCATTTTTATGTTTTAGCATTAGCATTTAATCCATACATCTTCCCTTCTTAAATTCACCATCATCAACAGTTCTGTTTTATCTTTCCCCAAATTCTTCGATAATATTGTGATTCCATTGTGCACCTGACCTGGTGTGTTCTACAGTTTCATCCCTTGTAATAGATGCTTTGAAGGACCTTTGTTCCAAGAAATTGGAGCCACCTCCCCCTTTCCTCAGATCATACCTGATTACCCCACTCCTCCTGATTTCCAGCCTTTATATGACCCTCATGGGTCATGAGTATAATAATAATCTATAGATTTTCCAGTAATTCTAACATTCTATTATTCTCTTTGCTGATAACTATTTTGGGAGGGAGAGGCAGGAGATTCATAAGGAGAATTACTGAGGTAAATGGAGGTGTTAGGAGTGTGTATAAAAGAAAAACATTCAAAATGAACAAAAAATAGAGCAAGGTGATGAGATTTAAAAGTTGTCTAAGCAATAAAGGAGTATGGAGGAAGTAAATTTATTTGGATTTTTGGGAGTTACTAGGTAGTAGGTTGGTAAACAGCAACCTCCCAGGGAGGTACTACCGTCCTGCTAAGTGAGTGTAAAACGAAAGCCTGTAATTGTTTTGCATGATGGTAGGATTGCTGGTATCGTTTGTCTGTCTCGTAAAAATGCAAGATTTCAGGTACGTCTTGCTACTTCTACTTACACTTAGGTCACATTACACATACATGTACAGGCATATATATATATACACACCCCTCTGGGTTTTCTTCTATTTTCTTCCTAGTTCTTGTTTATTTCCTCTTATCTCCATGGGGAAGTGGAACAGAATTCTTCCTCCGTAAGCCATGCGTGTTGTAAGAGGCGACTAAAATGCCGGGAGCAAGGGGCTAGTAACCCTTTCTCCTGTATAAATTACTAAATTTAAAAAGAGAAACTTTTGCTTTTCTTTTTTGGGCCACCCTGCCTTGGTGGATATGGCCGGTTTGTTAAAAAAAAAAAAAAATTTGGGAGTTATTTGAATTGTAATGTCAGCACGTTGTAGCACACCTCAGAAAAGACAGAGAAGGAATCAATGAAGGTGAATGTATTTTCTTCCTTAGACAACCCTTCCTAGGCAGGCCATGGCAATTGAGGTAAAACACTAAAAGGTGGTTGTTGAAAGATTTGGCTAATCAAAAGAAATAAGGAAAAGAAGCTGGGAAGTTAATGGAGAGAAGGAAGTTCATCAGTGGAGGAATAAAAGTGTTCTGTTAAAATATAGTGGTGCAGCTCTCTGTGTATACATGTGTGAGGCATATTACCTGGATGTTACAGTGAAGAGGAAACCTAAGGTAGTAGAGATCCATGTTCGATATTATATGGTGTGAATATTATGTATAGAATAATTGAAGAAATTAGAAGACAGTGTGGTGGTATGAAAGGTGTTATGTAGTGGCAGAAGAGTGGATGAGATGGTCAGGTTATTTATAAAGGATGAAGAATTATAGGCTGACCAAGAGGGTGTATATTGTATAAATATGGGGAGGACATCCAAGGAAAGGTTGAAGATAGGTTGTAATTTACATTTCTGAAAAGTGGTTTTTCATCAACCAGCAGGCATGTGTGTGTATGTTAGATTGGAGTGAGTAGAGACCAAGTTGGTTTGGAATGTGATAGTTCTGTTGGAGTGTGAGTAAAATAACATTTATGAAGGAAATTGTGGAAACTACTGTTGCTGCTTCCATTACTATTTCCTCCCTTCACCCCTACTTCCATTACTAATGCCTCCTTTAACGGTTCACTCCTCTTTCTATCTCTTGTGCCACAAAAACTACTCTCCCTATTTTCTGCTACCACTATTACTTCCACTACCAGCCTTACCACTAGCACTATTACTTTTTCTTTCTATCTCTTGGTCCTGTTCCTTTCCTCCTCGCCTATATATACTGGCTTCCTCACTCTTTTGTGTTAGTGTGATCTTGTAAATGGTCCAAGTCAGACCGAAACATTGCCGTAAGCTTCTATATCCTATGTGCAGTTTATTTGTGTAATGCTTCTAGACATTTCATTTTCCTTTTCAGTAGAAAAAGTCCTGTCAAACATACTTGTGAAAGTTTTATTTTTTCTTCACACAGTTTTATAGTAGGGTAGAGATTAGTGCTGCATTATCCGAGTACTGAGCAGGGGCCCTTTGTTTTCTCCTCAGTCCACATGTTGAATAAGTTTTCTGTCTTATTTAGTTGCATTGACCTCTTTGTCACATACTGCACTAGCTATTGCACAAGCTTTTATTTCTTTTTCATCTTTTCTGATTCTATGAATGAATAATTTACTCAGACCAGAAGTGAGTGCCATCTCCATGACATGTGAACCTCATGCAAGCATATCTAAAACCTCTAATTTTTTTTAGATACTGTCTGTTACCTTGGCATCTCCAGCATCACTAGTATTCCTATTGGGTACCATGTTAATATCCAAAGATGAGATGGGGTGATAAAAAGCTCTTAAAAGGTGTTAACACAGAACAGAAGCCTTTAACACATTTGGTGTTTCCTTACAGTAATTGTTAGCAGTGGTAGGAGTGTGTATGGAGGAAGGTGTGGTGCTTCCTCAAAAACCAATACAATTATTATACTGTGCTTACCTATTAGACCCAATGGGGCAGAGGGAAAAATATCCACTGAACATAAAACCATGTCATTATGTCCAGGTGGATCCTTTCCTACTTTATGGCATGCAGTATCGATCATTTTCACATGCTTTATTGTTTTCACAATAATTTTTCAGTTGTATTAAGACAATACACAAATAACCTGCATATAGGAGAGATGAGCTTATGACGATGTTTTGGTGCGATTTGGACCATTTGCAAGTTACACTTTGTAAATAGTAGTCCAAATCGGACTGAAATGTTGTTTGTCATAAGCTCCTCTCTCCTATGTGCAGGTTATTTGTGTATTGTTCCAATCACGGTATTGTGCCTTTTTTGTTCTTTCTGTATTAAGATAATCTCGTGCAGTCTAATTGTTTTTTAATTGATGATCTATTGTACTGTATATTGAAATAGACCTGTGTATGATCAACAATTAATTGAGTGTAGGTTATAAGCAGAAGCTGAAGGGATTTGTAGGTAGAGAGAACAGAGCTCAACATACTGGTGATTTGTTTTGAGGGTTCTACCCTCTTGGTCCTGTCTCAGCCCAGTCTTCCTTGTTAACAACCTAGTCAACTAGGGTGTCTGTAATAATGCCTTTCAGAAACACAAAAAACCTTTGTTAACCACTTGGTTAACTAGGGTGTGATAATGCCTTGCAGAAACAGCTACTACAACCCAGTAGATCAGGTATTTGTAGGAAATAGTGGTCTAGTTTCCTCTTGAAATTTTCTACCTTCATTCAGTCAAGATTTCTGATGTTTACTGGTAATGGGAGTCTTGTGCCATGGAAGTTTGCAGTGTTCTCTAATTGTAATGATTCTTGAATATCAAAATATTTTATGAAAAAGGCTTATGGACTATTCTGTAAGTATATAGTGGTATCTAATATGATGGTGAAAAGTGTGTAATACCCTTCCTTGTTTTGTATAGACTTGTATCTAGAGTACCAGATTGTCACTAATACCATTAATTAAGGAGAGGTGTTATGTTAGAGGCTCATGCATGTATCTACTAGGTTGGTAGACAGCATCCACCCAGGGAGGTACTACCGTCCTGGTAAGTGAGTGTAAAACGGGAGCCTGTAATTGTTTTACATGATGGTAGGATTGCTTGTGTCTTTTTTCTGTCTCATAAACAGGCAAGATTTCAGGCATGTCTTGCTGCTTTTACTTACTCTTAGGTCACACTGCACATGCATGTACAAGCATATATATATATACATGCCTCTGGGTTTTCTTCTAGTTCTTGTTTATTTCCTCTTATCTCCATGAGGAAGTGGAACAGAATTCTTCCTCCATAAGAGGCGACTAACATGCCGGGAGTAAGGGACTAGTAACCCCTTCTCCTGTATTCATTACTAAAGCTAAAAAGAGAAAAAAATAGTTTTTCTCTTTGGGCCACCCTGCCTCGGTGGGATACATCCAGTTTGTTGAAAGAAGAAGATAACTCGTGAATATATTTTTAATGTTATTTCTTAATTTTTCTTGTAGTTCTGATGGAATTTGCTAGCTTACATGGCAGAATTCCTGATCCAGCTCGTAGGAATGAGGATGAAGTTGAACTGCTGACCATTAAGAATGCATTATTGGAGAAGATGGCTGTGCCTCAGGAGAAAGTTGACAATCAATTTGCTGGGTAAGATTTAACAGTTTCACAAATATATTTTAGGATTATTTACACATGCACACATGTGCGCATTCACTTTTTTTTTGGAGGTTAAATAGTGTTCTTTATATGTTTAATTTGGAAAAATGCACTGTGAATTGCATAGGCCATAATATGGTATTAATGTTGGTAGAATTACCTACAATATGTTGGGTAAAAGGACACAAATGCAACTAATGTGACATTTTATTGTGGCAATGTTACACTCTTCAGGAGCTTTATCAGGGCGTTACAAACATTACATGGACACAGAGGGTATATATAGGATTAGAGCGAGGTATAATACTAGTGGTAGTAGTAGTAGTAATATTAGTTGTAGTAGTACAGTGGACCCTCAGTTAACAATGCTATCGGTTAGCGATAAAATCGGATACCGATACGTTTTTGTGTCAGAGTATTTGCTCGGCTAACGATAAAAAACTCAGTTAAGGACATTTGTCCAGAATGTGTCCGTGTGGCCTGAGCCTCCCGGCCACTCCAGTGTGGCTAGTGTGCCATTGTTTACAAGCCATTGTGGACAATTCCACGCGTACATGCGATACATTTTTGTATTATTCCATTGTTTTTAGTGCTTGTAACTGCTAAATCAGCCACCATGGGCCCAAAGAAAGCTTCTAGTGCCAGCCAGCCCTTTGGTAAAGGGCTGAGAGAGAGTGGAGAATGTGCCTTTTACAGTGATTCTGCAACATGTACGATACTAAAGCAGCAGGAGTCTTTAAAGGCTATAGCTGCAGCCAACGATGAAGTGTAGCATTAACAGTAGCAAGTAAGTTAAGCGATTAATCAATAGAAAAAGGACAGCACGAACCTAACTCCTCCAATGTTGTTGGAGTTATGTAGGGTGACTGACATCATCGCCGTCTCTAGTCTGTACCACCTCTGCTGCCTTCAGCACCACTATGTATGGCATATGCTCTCAGTGGCCCTTATACACACAACAACAACAACACAACAACACTCGTGACATAATGACGTATTTTATTCATTCTAGAGTATTTGCCATGCTTCTCTGTTGTTAATATTGTTTACTATGTCATATTAGATGAATTATGCTAGATAAATAAGCCATAGAGCTGATATTAGTGTCATATTGAAGGACTATCTTGTGTCTCCCAAAACAATTCCTAACATTCTCCAGAAACAGACCTCTGGAAAACTTTTTTGAGCAACAGGGGTCCAGTGGCTCTCAAGCTTGTCGTAGTGGCATTAAAAAATAAAGGAGGGAAGTAACCCAGGATAAAGACTTGGTACCTGAAGTCTTTATGGAGTGGGATTTCCCTTCCAAACAATTGTAAACTCCTCCATCCTCTCCCCTCCTCCTGTCTTCCATACATCACCATGTCTTCAATACAGGTAAGTGTGATGTTGTTATTGTTTTATTCTTCATGTGTAGGGAAGAAGAGCAGGATGTGAGTGTGGGAGAGGTGCGTGAGGCATTACGTAGAATGAAAGGGGGTAAAGCAGCTGGAACTGACAGGATCATGACAGAAATGTTAAAAGCAGGGGGACACATAGTGTTGGAGTGGTTGGTATTTTTGTTTAATAAATGTATGAAAGAAGGGAAGGTACCTAGTGATTGGCAGAGTGTGTGTATAGTCCCTCTATATAAAGGAAACGGGGACAAAAGAGATTGTAAAAATTATAGAGGAATAAGTTTACTGAGTATACCAGGAAAAGTGTATGCTAGCTGGTCTATTGAAAGAATTAGAGGTAAGACAAAATGTAGAATTGCGGATGAGCAAGGAGGTTTTAGAGTGGGTAGGGGATGTGTAGATCAAGTGTTTACATTGAAGCATATATGTGAGCAGTATTTAGATAAAGATAGGGAAGTTTTTATTGCATTTATGGATTTAGAAAAGGCATATGATAGAGTGGATAGGGGAGCAATGTGGCAGATGTTGCAAGGGTATGGAATAGGTGGTAAGTTAATAAATGCTGTAGAGTTTTTATGAGGATAGTGAGGCTCAGGTTAGGGTGTGTAGAAGAGAGGGAGACTACTTCCCGGTAAAAGTAGGTCTTACGGATGTGTAATGTCACCATTGTTGTTTAATATATTTACAGATGGGGTTGTAAAAGAAGTAAATGCTAGGGTGTTCGGGAGAGGGTTGGGATTAAATTATGGGGAATTAAATACAAAATGGGAAATGACACAGTTACTTTTTGCTGATGATACTGTGCTTATGAGAGATTCTAAAGAAAAATTACAAAGGTTAGTGGATGAATTTGGGAATGTGTGTAAAGGTAGAAAGTTGAAAGTGAACATTGAAAAAAGTAAGGTGATGAGAGTATCAAATTATTTAGATAAAGAAAAATTGGATATCAAATTGGGGAGGAGTATGGAAGAAGTGAATGTTTTCAGATATTTGGGAGTTGACGTGTCAGCGGATGAATTTATGAAGGATGAGGTTAATCATAGAATTGATGAAGGAAAAAAGGTGAGTGATGCATTGAGGTATATGTGGAGGCAAAAAATGTTATCTATGGAAGCAAAGAAGGGAATGTATGAAAGTGTAGTAGTACCAACACTTTTACATGGGTGTGAAGCTTGGGTTGTAAATGCTGCAGCAAGGAGGCGGTTGGAGGCAGTGGAGATGTCCTGTCTAAGGGCAATGTGTGGTGTAAATATTATGCAGAAAATTCGGAGTGTGGAAATTAGGAGAAGGTGTGGAGTTAATAAAAGTATTAGTCAGAGGGCTGAAGAGGGTTTGTTGAGGTGGTTTGGTCAGTTAGAGAGAATGGATCAAAGTAGAATGACATGGAAAGCATATAAATCTATAGGGGAAGGAAGGAGGGGTAGGGGTCGTCCTCAAAAAGGTTGGAGGGAGGGGGTAAAGGAGGTGTTGTGGGCGAGGGGTTTGGACTTCCAACAAGCGTGCGTGAGCGTGTTAGATTGGAGTGAATGGAGACAAATGGTATTTGGGACCTGACGATCTGTTGGGGTGTGAGCAGGGTAATATTTAGTGAAGGGATTCAGGGAAACCAGTTATTTTATATAACCGGACTTGAGTCCTGGAAATGGGAAGTACAATGCCTGCACTCTAAAGGAGGGGTTTGAGATATTGGCAGTTTGGAGAGATATATTGTGTATTTTTATATGTATATATACTTCTAAACTGTTGTATTCTGGGCGCCTCTGCAAAAACAGTGATTGTGTGTGAGTGAGGTGGAAGTGTTGAATGATGATGAAAGTATTTTCTTTTTGGGGATTTTCTTTCTCTTTGGGTCACCCTGCCTCGGTGGGAGAGGGCCGACTTGTTGAAAAAAAAAAATGTACATTTCATGTAAAAAAATTATTTTGTTTAATATTTTTGGATGTCTCAAACAGATTAATTGGATTTCCATTATTTCTTATGGGGAAAATTAATTTGGATAACGATAAGGGAGGAGGAAGTTCGGGCGAGATATAAGCAACTATTGGCAGAAAGGTGGGCTAGTGCAAAGATGAGTAGTGGGGGGGTTGAAGAGGGTTGGAATAGTTTTAAAAATGCAGTATTAGAATGTGGGGCAGAAGTTTGTGGTTATAGGAGGGTGGGGGCAGGAGGAAAGAGGAGTGATTGGTGGAATGATGAAGTAAAGGGTGTGATAAAAGAGAAAAAGGTAGCTTACGAGAGGTTTTTACAAAGCAGAAGTGTTATAAGAAGAGCAGAGTTTATGGAGAGTAAAAGAAAGGTGAAGAGAGTGGTGAGAGAGTGCAAAAGGAGAGCAGATGAAAGAGTGGGAGAGGCACTGTCAAGAAATTTTAATGAAAATAAAAAAAAATTTTGGAGTGAGTTAAACAAGTTAAGAAAGCCTAGGGAAAGTATGGATTTGTCAGTTAAAAACAGAGTAGGGGAGTTAGTAGATGGGGAGAGGGAGGTATTAGGTAGATGGCGAGAATATTTTGAGGAACTTTTAAATGTTGAGGAAGAAAGGGAGGCGGTAATTTCATGCACTGGCCAGGGAGGTATACCATCTTTTAGGAGTGAAGAAGAGCAGAATGTAAGTGTGGTGGAGGTACGTGAGGCATTACGTAGAATGAAAGGGGTAAAGCAGCTGGAACTGATGGGATCATGACAGAAATGTTAAAAGCAGGGGGAGATATAGTGTTGGAGTGGTTGGTACTTTTGTTTAATAAATGTATGAAAGAGGGGAAGGTACCTAGGGATTGGCGGAGAGCATGTATAGTCCCTTTATATAAAGGGAAAGGGGACAAAAGAGACTGTAAAAATTATAGAGGAATAAGTTTACTGAGTATACCAGGAAAAGTATACGGTGGGGTTATAATTGAAAGAATTAGAGGTAAGACAGAATGTAGGATTGCGGATGAGCAGGGAGGCTTCAGAGTGGGTAGGGGATGTGTAGATCAAGTGTTTACATTGAAGCATATATGTGAACAGTATTTAGATAAAGGTAGGGAAGTTTTTATTGCATTTATGGATTTAGAAAAGGCATATGATAGAGTGGATAGAGGAGCAATGTGGCAGATGTTGCAAGTATATGGAATAGGTGGTAAGTTACTAAATGCTGTAAAGAGCTTTTATGAGGATAGTGAGGCTCAGGTTAGGGTATGTAGAAGAGAGGGAGAATACTTCCCGGTAAAAGTAGGTCTTAGACAGGGATGTGTAATGTCAACATGGTTGTTTAATATATTTATAGATGGGGTTGTAAAAGAAGTAAATGCTAGGGTGTTTGGGAGTGGGGTGGGATTAAATTATGGGGAATCAAATTCAGAATGGGAACTGACACAGTTACTTTTTGCTGATGATACTGTGCTTATGGGAGATTCTAAAGAAAAATTGCAAAGGTTAGTGGATGAGTTTGAGAATGTGTATAAAGGTAGAAAGTTGAAAGTGAACATAGAAAAGAGTAAGGTGATGAGGGTATCAAATGATTTAGATAAAGAAAAATTGGATATCAAATTGGGGAGGAGGAGTATGGAAGAAGTGAATGTTTTCAGATACTTGGGAGTTGACGTGTCGGCGGATGGGTTT